TAATTCACCCCGAAGAAATGAAGGCCTCAGTGACATCTTATCAATGTATATGTATATCTTAGGAATAGAGGAGAGTGAGTAAAGAAGACAGTCAGGCTGTTTCCAGTGTGGTCAGTGTCAGGGCAAGAGGCAGTGGGCACAAGCATCAACACAGGAGCTTCCCTCTAAGTATCACTTCGCCACAGTGAGGATGACAGAACAGAAGATTACATTACCCAGAGGAATTGTGGACTCTGAATCTTTGGAGATATTCAAAAGCCACCTGAACATGGTCTCAGAAATTGGCTCTAGGTGACTCTGCTTGAGCAGAAGGTTGGGTCAGAAAACTGCAGAGTCCCTTCCAATCTCAGTCTTTCTGAGATGAAATATATTTTAAAAGGTCCTGAAAAGTATTTTTTAACAGTTAATAATATCAATAGGTGACAGTAATTTAATTTTTTTTTTACTTATTTATTGCAATGATAATGCCTGGTAATACCACAATTTAAATTAAATACCATAATTTAAATTAAAAAGACAGACTTTGAAGCATCAAATACATAGAAAAAATGATCCTGAAGTTTGCACTGCCTTATTTTTGACACATGGAACAGTCTTCAGCTAGAAAAGACACTGATATTTCATTTAATGAATTCCAAAATAGATTAATAATTATACAGTTTTTTCTAAGCTTTTACAACTGTTGCTGAATAGCAAAAAGCTATGAGTTGTAGGTCCCAGAAAAGTTCTCTGTCTTGAGTGCTAGAGGATGACTGTCTTTTTTTTTTTTTTTTTTTCAATGGTTTGGGTTGGAAGTGACCTTAAAGATCACCTAGACTCAATCCATCTTGCCATGGGCAGGGGCACTTCTCACTAAACGAAGTTACTCAAGACTCTAACCAGCCTGGCTTTGAATACTGCCAGGGATGATCAACTGACATCAGCTGCTCTGGGCAAGCTCAGTTACTCACCACCTTCATAGAAAATAATTTATTTGTTATGGCTAATCTACACCTATTCCCTTCCAGCTTAAAGCCATTCCAACTTGTCTGATCACTACAGTTCCTGACGAAGAGTCCCTCTCCAGCATCCCTGTAGGCTCGTATCAGATACTGGAAGGTTTCTGTGCACTCTTCACACAACCTTCTCTTCTCTAGGCAGAACAGCCCCAAATTTCTCAGCCTGACTTCATAGGGGAGGTTCTGCAGTCCCCTCATCAGCCTTGTGGCCTCCTGTCAACTTGCTCTGATGGCCCCTGTCCTTCTGTTGTTGGGACCCCAGAGCTGGATGCAGCCCTGCAGGTGGGGTCTCAGCAGAGCAGAGGGGCAGAATCCCCTCCCTCCCCTCTGCCCACGCTGCTCTGGATGCAGCCCAGGACACGTTTGGCTTTCTGGGCTGTGAGTGCTCATTGCCGACCCATGTTGAGCATTTTGTCAACCCTCAAACCCCAGTCCTTCTCTGTAGGATTTTTCTCAATCACTTTTTGGCCCAAGCTGCATGTGTTACTCGTGCAGAAAGTGGTGCTACAGTTTTCAAAAAGCAGGCGAGTGTCAGGCTCATAGGATGAGCCCCCACTGCTATGATTGCTCAGCTAGTACACCAAGAACTGCTGTCTTCTGTGTCTGTCTCTCAGCAAGCAATGGACCAAGTTTTTTTCTGGGAACAGGCACTCTGAAAGAGGATTCCTTGCTAGGGAAGAGACACAGTTTTCTATTATGAATGTCTGTCTGGTCTTAGAAATGTTAATAAAGGCAGAATTGCTTTACTAAAAACAAGACCATATACATGCTTCTAGTCTTAAGGAAATCCTTTGAATCCTTTATCAGTTTTATCCAAAGTCACATGAAACATATTGAAAGATAGTAATGTTCGAGTTAAAAAGAAAAGGAAGACTACTGTGGTCTTTTTCCCACGCTTTTTGAAATAAACAACACTTATATTCTACTCATAATACAAAAGTAATGACTAGGAAAAAAATTAGCGTCATTCATTGAACGCATGACATTAAATAATTCCTCAGACTGTTCCTTTCAGCATGTCTGAGTTCCTTTGGGCAGCAATGGTACTACAAATTATTATTTTACGCAGCAATAAAATTCTTGGAAAGTTATTTCTGTTTTTATTTTTCTATGTCCAGTAAGATTAGATTAATGTTTCTGATCAAATTATTTGCAGTTTAACAAGTAGCTCCAGAAAGGATTTTCTTTACCAAATGCAATTCATTATCATTTTTAAAAATTGTGTATGAATTATGACTATGCATGTTAAGGGAACGAAATATGTACAACTACCTGATTTTCATCTAAACCATGTGCAAATGAAAAAAAGTGCTGTTAAGGTAGCAAAGTCTCACGAGAATATTAAAATAAGCATAAAGAATGCCATTGGGTAATAGGTATTTTATCAAAGCATCACAATAAAGGCAACACTGAGAGGTTAGTAGTGGTGTAACCTGAGATCCTTTATTCAAATCTAATTTGAGTGAGAGACTGAACTGGTCCCCTGCAGATCCAGACATGAGCAAGAAGAGAAAAATACCTGTTTCTATTCAGTCTCCCCTATAACGTGTGGTTTTTGTTCTCCAACAGGCATGTTGCTCAGGAGCCCAAATCTGAGTAACAAATTAATGCGTGGAAACCCTCTTTCACAAACAGGTTATGGTACAAATGATCAGGAAACCAAGAAGGAAGACACTGAAGCCCTACTTATTTTCAAATCCAAGTGTAAGCAGAAAAGTGATTCATGCTAAGGTAAAGAGAGGAAGAATCCAATGCCAGATAAAATTTCCAGTAAATACATATCATCTTGGTTTAAAGCTTTTAGAACATATCTGATTTGGAGAAAAGATACTGGAGCTTGTTAAAGCTTTGTCTCATTTTCCATCATGAAATATTTGAATGAGTCTTAAAATTAAAACTGCTGATTGCCCAACTACTTTTTTATTACAGTATTTTGTGTAATGGTCACATTAAGTCTAAAACTCCTGAACACTGGCAGAAATTATACATATTCACTGTAGATATTAAACATTAAGAGTTTTTTTTGGTCATGTGATGGCTGGAGTAGAAGATTGGAATTCTTGCAGGTATTAAAATACGGGCAGACATTGACACCAGTCATGAGTTTATCTCATGGAAAAGGTTTATTGCAGGATACTGAAAGAAAACATGTGAAATAGTTTTTCATTGAAATGCAAGTCAGGTATTGTAATTTTATTTTTTTTTTTATGAAAGGGCATTTATAACAAAGATCCTTGTTTCTGCCTGTGATAATATCTGACTTATTTTCCAAAAAAGTGGTCTCTGCAGTAATGATCATCCACACTGAAGTCATCTCCAGGGTGGAAGTTGAGCACTGTTTCCTGATTGATAGAACTGAGCCTGGCAAAACCACGATTGGTTTTTATCTGAGTCTGCCTTAATTTCGTTCTGTAAGTCCTATTCATTTCCCTGAACAGCACTGAAGGTCTGATTATTAGAGATACTGAGCATTCAAACCTCAATTTTTTTTCTCAATTAGCAGCTTGTTTTTGCACTGTCATTCCAAAGCAGCATGTAATTAAAGATGCAATGTATAATTAAATATATTACAAACAAAGGAGCTGTGTATGTTTTAGACAAGAATTAAGGTAATGTGTTAAGCCAACCATTAAGTAAAAATGCTCAGATTCTGCTTCTTTGTGAAATGGAGGTTCTTGGGACTATTTTTATAATGTGTTCAGTTCTCATGTATTAGCCTTAGAAGATGTCAAATATATGAATGGCATAAAGAGATTTCAAACACACTCTCTTCAAAAAAGTAAGAAAAATTAAGACAAAAATAATTACATTGTTGTTTCCAGTGTATTTATCAAAATGGAAAAATACCTGGAATATTATAATAATTCTAATAATAATAATACAACAAGAAAAAAAACAAAGCATTGTTTTTCAGTGGAGGTGTAATTTGATTAGTCTTCATCAAGACTGAATATGTACAATGGTTTACTATCAATATATTATCTTCTAATCTCACTATGGGGGGTCTGTCAATGTACTGAAGAAGACTTCAAGATCATGGGTTCAATGGCGAGTAGAATGATGAACTGTGCTCATTCCACTCAAGGACATCATCTCTCATAAAAGCAAGCAAATGGAATTCTTGTCAAGAATACTAATGTCAATGGAATGTCAAAAAAGGAAAAAGTGCATTTAATTTCTTTTGGGAGCTACTATGAAAAATAAAGAAAAAGAGTTTGGATAATGACCTGGGAAAAAAAGACATCAGAACAGTCCAAAAATAAAATGTTTATGCATTTACATAAACAACAAATAAATAATTCTTGCATGATAAATAACTCTATACATTTCTTGTTAAATAATACTGTTTAGAGTAATACATATAATAATGCATATATAATACTATATATCGTTTATAATCATGGAGAGTCAGAACAAAAAGACGCCGAGTGCTTTGTTAACAGAAATAAATATAACTGAAATACATCTTCCAAATCAGATGGAAAAGTTTTTAAAAGTTGTAATATAATTGCATCTAAAATCTATAGCTATTGTGAAATACTGTGTTGATTTTATTCTTTTGTTAGTAGGGGTGCTTACAAAATCAAAAACATATTTTTGCAATCTTGAGCTCATTTAGTTGAATTCATTGTAGAGGAAGGAATTTGCCAAAATTGCTGTAGTTTTCAATGAACATACCCTATTTTGTACTTACATTGCAGCAGCTTCCAACTCAAACCTTCCCTGTGTCAAGCCATTGAAGGTAAATGTACTCTCTTAGAGAGTATGGGAAATAACGTTGTGTCCTACAGTTTAAATTCTATCCTGAAGTTCTGTTTGGGTGTCAGCATGAGTAAATATTTAGACTTTGCTAATGAAATTACTCCTCCTGTTCACAGGAAAGCAAGTGAAAATGACATGAAGACTAAAATACTCCACAATTTTTTTCCCACTGTTTTCATTGGTAATCAATCACCTGTTCTTTAAGGCCCTGAACCTTAATCCAGGGACTGGGGGAAAGAGGATTGGAAGAGAAGACCAGGTTGAAGACCATGTTAGGAACATGAAAATACTACACAAATCCTAGGGACCCAACACAGACAGTGGAATTGAGTGCACCCTCAACGACCCAGCAGATCACACCAAGCTGAGTGGTGCCACTGGTGTGCTTAGGGGAAGGGATGCCATGCAGAGGGACTTTGACAGGCTTGGGAAGTGGGCCCACAAGAACTTCACGAGGTTCAGCAAGGCAAGGTGCAAGGTCCTGCTCCTGAATGAGTCAATGCTTTGTCAGCACAGACAGAGTGATGCATTGCTTCAGAGCAGCTCTGCAGAGGAGGTGCAGGTGGATGAAAAGCTGGGCGTGACATGGCAATGTCTGTTTGCAGCTCAGAAAGCCGAGTGTATTCTGGGCTTCATCAAGAGCAGCATGGCCAGCAGATTGAGGGAGGTGATTCTCTCTCTCTGCTTTGCTCATGAGAGACCCCACTTGGAGTGCTGCATCCAGCTTAATATAAGAATGACATGTACCTTTTAGAGAGGGTCTAGAGGAGAACCACAAAAATTATCAGAGGGCTGGAACACCTCCACAACAAAAAAAGTATAAGAGAGTTCAGATTGGAAAAAAAAAGCCCCCAGGATAGCCCCCATTCTACATTTCATTATTTAAAGGGTAGTTTGTAAGAAATACTGAAAGAGAATTTTTGCTAGAACTGGTAGTGACAAGACAGGGGTGATGGTTTTATACTGAGAGTTAGTTTGAATAAAAGGAAGAGATTTTTTATGGTGAAGGTGTTGAAACACTGGAATAGCTTGCCCACAAAAGTGGATGTCCCACCATTGGAGGTGTTCAAAGTCAGATTAAACAGGGCTTTTAGCAACCTGTTGTAGTGCAAGATGTTGATGCCTATGTCAGAGGGTTTTGGACTGTATGATCATTAAAGATCCCTTCCAAACCAAAACATTCTAAAATTCTTTAGATGTGAGGTTTTGGCAGGACCTCCGGGTGCTTCCTGTGCACCCACACTGTCAGGCCTATTCTTTTGTGTGAAAAGCAAAACGGCTAATAGTTGCTATAAAGTTATTCATTGCAGAAGCACATCAGTCTCAAAAGCAAATACAAAGCAAAGCAAAGCAATGGCATAAAGCAATGGCAAAGCTGCAGTGGCAAAATGCAACGGCAAAATGCACATGGCATAAAGCCATGGCATAGAGCCCCAGCTCTCCCTGATGCATGTTCTTTTATTAAAACTTTCCAACTAGCTAAGACACAAACTCGGACCACTACTCCTTAACCTATTAGAATTCTGGTTTCTTAGCACGCCAGGCTACGTATAGACTACATTCATGGCCTAGCTTGTTCTAACTGAAAAATGTAAGCAATATTCTTAACTCTATTATGTCTGAAGCTAGGTTCTTGGAGCCTCTAAGGAAACACTAGCATGTTTTTCAACCTCCACTAGAACATGTACTACTTCTCAGGCATCTAAGACCTTTTACTCACTAAAAGCACTTAAAACTTATTCCATTCACTTACTTATTTTCTCTCTCTTACGTTACAACCTAAGTCTTCACCTCTGCCTTATACGTGAGAGGCCTAATATACTTCAATCCATCTAAAGGTTTCAACTCAATCCCTGCATTCTGATCTTTCCCTGAAGGATTCAGAGAAACTCCTGACTTACTGACTCCAATATCTAACACTTTTGAGACTTTACCACGAACAGGTAAACATTTAATGTAGGGATATATTGTATTGGTTATTTATGCTAGCATATATAATTGCATTTTCAAGTTTTTTCTCTTTTGTATGTTTTTTGAGTTCTTATTTTAATATTTTCTTCAAAACCACTGTAGTTATACGTGGCCTTTCTTATTCAGTAGCAGTAGATGGTACTTTTCTCTGTTGGCAAGCAGTTTGATGAGTCAAGTGAGGGATCAATTGTTTGCTTACTTGTTATGGTGCAGTTACCAGATGTTTTGGTTACTGACAATGAATTAACATTGTATGAGGTATATATATATTTAGGTGTCTTTTTTTTTTATCCTCTATGTTATACCTCTTCCATTTCCACAGTCTCCCACTCAAAATGAAATGTCCTATTTCTGTTGCAAAACGATGGAAAATTTATGTCTCACATATAACAGTTAGCATAGTCCATTTCACTTAGAAAAAGTTTTAAATGCACTAAAAGAAAATGAAAATCCATATCATGTGATTCTGATGTGATCTCTAGGGAATAATCCTTGTTGTTAAAATAACAGTTATTAAAAATACAGCACACACTGTGTGCATATGCAGAGCAAAAAAGGAGGCCTGCTATTTCAGTACCTTATTGATGCTAGAATTTTGATTTGATTGGTACATGAAAGAAATCCTTACTCCAAGGTGAAAATTTATTTTACTTTATTTGCATAGTTTCTTAATTATTTTACTCTTCTAAATCCTGTGTGACTTCTAGAACATCTTGAAAACCGTCATCTCAGCACATCATTCTAATTATGTGATCACTTGGCAATTTTTCACAGTAAAAAGGTCAGCTGCCTTCACAGACTAACACATACCTTTGCGCTATTTGTTCTGGCATTGTCATGGTTTTTCTGGAAGGTTAAATTAGTTTAGAGTGTGTTTCATAACTGTTCTGCTATATCATGCTTACTACAGAGAAACTAGCTACTGATTGTCACATCCACCACCTTGTCTTTGTCTCTGTGTTTACTGAGCATTAGATTCAACTGCATGTCATTCCACATCACGGTGAATGTGAACTCCAGAACCTCAACAGCTTCTGGAAATCCTGAGTGCTTGAAGGTCACTGCACTACATTGCCTGCAGATGTCAGGGAGAACTGAGATTTGTGACACAGACACTTCCTGGTTTGAAGAAGCTTGTCCATCTTCATATCCTGTCTGGGTGGACACAATCCTACCATGGTGCACCATGGTGTTATCCTTACTGACCTGACCACATGAGTTCTCACACTGCCTTTTGTGGATGTCAGAGAGAAGAGCCAGGCATTCAAGATGCTCCTTAACAGTAAGGCAGCTTCTTTCCTTATTCTGTTTCTCTTGAAAAACTTGTACTGTACATAACTTAGTGCAGTTGTGCTAGCTGTTTTACCATACTTTAGGTTTTTCAAACAACATCCCAGTTTTGTGGCTGGAGTTGTAGTCACATCTGCTTTTTTCCCTAGGTTGTGCATATTTGTGGGCAAGTATTTGAAACTGGTTCCCTACCACACTGTTTCATCATTCTTTAGGTTTTTCTTGTTAACAATGCTCTTCACTCTCTGTTTTCCACCCCTTTCTATTGTTTACTTCTTTACTTGGTTGTGGCTTACAGTCTCATTCCTCCATGTTCCTAGTGTAAAACTCTTCCAACCAGGCTGGCCTGCCTCTTGAAAACAGTACTCTTGCCAGTTCCTTGCCAGAACTATTACATCTCTCTGTGACAATCCATGATTCTCAAAGGTTGTGTTATCATAAAAGCCAAAACCTTGATGTTTACACCAGTTTGGATGACAACACTGGTTGATGTAAATAATGTATTGATAAGAATTATGCATTCCCTTCAGCTGCTCTCAGGACACTAAACTTAGTAGGAGCTGAGTGACAGAAGGCTTAGCCTGGAGGAACATCACGTGTAGCTGAGACCAAACCTTTTAACAGCACCAAGAGGTGCTACGTGATGCTACTGGGATTCTTCATTTAACTGGGGTAAAAGTACCCGGTTTTCTGATCTGAATTAACTAGGGAGTTATACCACTTCCTGAAACGACTTGAATCTGGGGTGTTTGTGATTCTGTTGATGATTTGGCAGGCTGGCTTTATTCCTATAGAAAAGCGACATTAATTTTTGATACGTATTTTCTTCAAAAATAAGCAGAATTTCAAAATGGGTCAAACATACTTGTCTTGTAGATGAGAATAAGGTTTACCAATGCAGAGTGTTCTGACAATTATTTTTTCATTGCCTGAAATGGTATTTCTGATAATGTTCTCCACTGTTCTCCTATAAAATTTCCCTGTCCATGAAACTGAAATGAGCTGAAATGAAAACTTGTTTAAATTAGTATAAGTACCAGTGTGAATGAAAAGGAGATGAGCCTTCTGTTCTCCTGCACCTCACGTGTTGGCAGAGGCGTTTCCAGCTGGAGTTTCAGCAGACAGAAAGTCACCAAAGTCACACAAATATTCCTTAAAACTCTACGTAGATTGTCTACCAAGACTGAAAAATGTCTTTGATTGAAAAAAATGTATCTAATAATCTAATAGCTTGACAATTTTCACCAATGATGATGTAGACTGCATGAAGCATTACCACAAAGAAAAGCATCTTTATATCACTCATTTATTTATAAAGATAAGGTGTGTGGAAAAAGTTGAAGGTGAAATACTTGTGCTGAAAATTCACCAAATTATTAGATATTCCAGATTTTCACCTCCAAGTCTGTTATTTGAGTACATCTTCCAAGATGATCAACCTATATTTCTGGAAGAAAATTAGTTACTCCATGACAACAGGGATGATCTAAAGATCAAAGAACTGCTCTTCAATAGAAGCAGATCAGTGATACATAGTTGACTATGAAGCTGTGGAAAATTGCATTTTAATGAAGTTGTTATCATTCAGATTATGTCATGGATGAAGGTGGCATTAAGGATATATTAACAATATAATGTTCTGGGAATACGTCTTTGTGTCAAAAACCCTGTTGGTGAATAACAGAAGAAACTAGAGGAATTTAGGGAGTGTGTAACATAGCCTGAAAGCAGTATATCAAAAACCACAAACCCTCTTCTTTTTAACCATATTATCCTTAGTATTGCCAGGTTTGATGAAGAAAAGAAGCAGAAAAACCAGTCAAAGCAAGAATGTCACGTAATTGTACATTAGACAACTTTTATTTGTATTTTTTTTCACAGGATGGTTTAATTGGAAGGTGGCTCCATGTAAAATTAGCTAAAAGGCTCCTTAATTTAGAGCATGAAGACATATCATGGTTCTATGGCTAAAATTTGAAGATTAAGTTTG